AACCACGCATGAAACAAGGTCCCCAGTGGTTGCCGGGAATTTGGGTTGGCAAGACCAACGAAGATGATCTTCATGTCGTCATTGGAGTGAATGGGGTGATGCGAGGTAAGACAAGTGAGCCATGGAGGCCTACATACATGTTCCTGGTCAAAGACAAACCCTTTCAAGATCCTGGAGTGAAGAGACCACCTCTTAGGATTCTGCCATCTACACCGATGATCCCTCGTGGGGTGAGAGGACCAGGACGACCTCGCAAACAAGCTCAAGAAGGACCACATTCCAAGCCTGAGGAAGAATCCTTCATGCGTGACCAAGATGCTGATGATGTAGAGAGGTATGCTCGGGAACATGGAGGAAGAGAGAGTCCAGGAGGAGAAGGAGGACATGGTGAGAAGAGGCAAGCAGATGTTCATCAAGAAGCAATGCCACAGAAATATGCGAAAGTTCCACCTTTGCCTTTCGGACTTGATGAAGCTGGTGAACGAGTTCCGCAAACACCAGAAGTGAAGAGACCTCAAGCCCCTCAGACAGGTGAGGAGATGAAGGATGCTGGAGAATTTGAGGAGCCGAGAACAAAGGCTGCAAGAACTCGTCCTGAAGGAAGTCCTGCTCATTTGTATGCCCCGACTTTTGCTGGTAACATTAATGCAGCATCTTTGCCAGTTGATGAGGAGAAATGGGAGCAGGACATTGAGGAGCATAACAACAGAGGTGGAGATGAGTGGCCTTTGCTTGAAGTAGAGGAGATGGATGAAGGACACCCTCCTGAGCTTTCAGATGAAGAGTTGCAGTTGGTGGAAGAGGAGGCAGGACAAGAAGAGATCCACCGGCTTTTGCAAATGGGAGTGCTTCGAGAGTCCAACGGTGCTCACTACGCGGTCCGTCTTCGACTGGCGATTCAGCGAGCAGAAATGGAAGAGGAGACGCAGGTTTTCCTACTTCCTCGTTAGCAGCTACAAGGCTTTTGCTGGCAACTCACACCTTGCTCTCTTGGAAACTCACTTTCATTGACGTGAAGGATGCCTTTTTGCTGGTTGACCAGGTGAAACTGGTCTTGGTGGAGAAGCCCCAATGGTGGCGACCAGAGGAATTAGAGAGGTTGCATCCAGGTGAGAGAAGATATTGGACCCTTCTCAAGTGCCTACCAGGACAAAGAGACGGTGGTGCGCGGTGGTATGACCATTTGAGTTTTCGCCTAGAGGATATTGGTTTCCAGCATCACTTGAGTTTGCCCTCGCTCTTCCGCCATGAAGAGAAGCCATTGGCTGCTGTTTGCCACGTGGATGACCTGATTGTGGCTGGTGAGATGAGCAGCATTGAATGGTTGCTGGCAGCAATGAGGAGCAAGTTCGTGTTGAGTGAATCTGGAATTCTTCCCAAAGGTGAACAGCCAGAAGATGAACCCGTGCGGTGCTTGAAGAAGAGGCACTACTTTACTTCGAATGGCATCAGTATGCCCCATGAGAAGTACATCCCCAGCTTGATGGAGTTGTACAAGTTGGAGCGCAGAGCGGACGTGCGACTCCTGAGAGCACATATGTGAGCTTGGAGGGACCTCCTGAGGATGCTCTAGAAGGTGAAGACCAATTCCGGTTCCGTTGAGCCGTTGGGACTTTGCTCTATATTAGCCAGGGCAGGATCGACGTACAATATCGCGTCAGGAATCTTAGCCAGTTCATGGCCCAAGACTGGCAGAAGCAGAGGTGAAACATTTGATTCTGTACTTGAAGCGAACAGAAGGCTATGGACTCCTCCTACCATATCAGAAGTGCAGAAGCAAAAAATCAGAGATTCTTGGACAGGTGGAGGAGTTGAGTGGTCCTGACATCCTGGAGAGCTTTTCAGACAGTGACTGGGCTGGAGATCAAAGCAGCGCAAAGCGCAGACGACATATAGTGTCAGTTCGACATTCATGTTGTTGAATGGATGCCTGATCACAAGCTGGTCCAGGTCCCAGAAGAGCATTGCTTTGAGTTCCTGCGAAGCAGAGTTTTTGGCGGCAGCAGGTAGTGCAGAAGGTCTTCAGATCAAGGACTTGTGGACCTTCATCAGCAGAAGGCAGGTGATCCTCAAGGCCATCACAGGCAGCAGCTCATGTAGAGCCTTTAGCGAAAGGCTAGGAGTTGGACGGTTGAAGCGCATCGACACTGGCTATCTATGGGTCCAGCTCGAGATCAAGAAGGAAACGCTTTTCTATGGAAGGCATCATTCCTACATTGTGGAATGTAGCCGACCTTGGGACCAAAAGGTTGACGAAAGCCCGTCGAGAGTTCCTGATGTACTTGATTGGGCTGGTTGAGATGAATGCCAAGGACAAAGAAGACACGTTTACAAAAGTTGGTGAGGAGACCTTCCACAAGGAGATGGCAAAGAAGATGATGACGAGGAGGATGAAGGAAGTGAAAAGAGAGATGGTGGCAACCATGGTCCAAGAGACGTCAAACCTGTCTTCTGTCTTCCAAAGTTCCTAATAGCATGGTGAAGCTAGTCACGCTGCTGTTGCTGCAACCTGGAGCTTTTGGAAGTGAAGGTGAGCATGTCTACACCTAGGACAAGGAGAACTACAAGAGTGGTGGTGGCTGGGTGTGCTTTTTCATGTTCATGATCTACAGCATGATCGTGTTCGGCTTCGGCGCGATTTGTGGCAATTGTACCGCGCCAGGATCGGTATTTTCCTGAGGACAGTGGCCCGGCTTGTGAGGCAAGAGAGAACAAATGAGTTCATTCGAGAACAAGAACACCAAGATGCCCTCGATAACTATCGAGCTTACCGAGGCATGATCTTGCGAACCATGATGGATGGTGTTCCAGGTGGAGAATGGCAAGTTGAACCCAGGAGAACATGGCCAACCCCACTACAACATCCTGAAGGAGAAGTATCAGATCGAAGTTTGAGTGTGCAGTTGCGTGAAGGTGAAAATCAAGAAGAAAAAATTCAGCACCCAATGAGCCCGAACAAGAGGAAGAAGGTGATGATGAAGAAGAGATAGAAGATTCCGATAGTGACGCTCCAAGAAATGGATTCCTACGAGATCACCATCCAACAACAATGGATTGGAACCCAGTGCTCGGCCGAATGTGGGAATACCGCATTCTCAGCGGTTCAGACAGTGCAGAAAGTGGCGACGAGTTTTTTGTAGAAGATGCTCAAGGCAACCTTCGTCGACGATACCGTCCCACTTCATCCGAGCGGAATGATGAGGACTTGGGCTACCAGGACATGGAAGTAGATGAAGCTGGAGATTCAGGCCAGCCAAGTGAAGGAGTGATTGACCGCAACAACCCACCTCGAGATGCCGACTGGTGGGACATGGAAACTCTCCTCCACCACCAAAAGGAGGAGCAAGAGAGGCGCGCTCGAAAGGTTTTGTCTTATGGACTTTTTCCTGAGACACTTTTCAAAGAGTTTTTGCGCACAAGGCTCGCTGCCGAGCACACTGGCCGGTTTCCACACATGGCATTTGACCACATTTTGCAGTGGTCCAGTGAGGAACGAAAAGAGTTCGCTCACTTTGCTGTCATGGTGTGCAGTTCCCAGTGGGAAGATGACTGGGATGGCCATGTAAGGCGGTACATCGAAAGCGGTGAGGTATAGAAAATCAGCCGCTGAACCGCACTGATTTTAGGTCGAGTGTCAAAACTTTCAATCCACCGCATGTCGTGTTTACTGGCCCCAGTGGCCCAAGCTTCCTTTGGTGGAAAACCGGGCGCGATCCGCACTTTTTCAAGTAGACAATTTCTCAGGTTTCTGAGTAGCAGGTGGACTGAATCTTCCTTTGTGCACCCAGGTGTCCAAAGTGGAATCAGACTTCGGCAAGGTACAGGCCAACATTTCTGAGATCATGGGGTTGCTTGTTTGCATGGGCTGTCCTGCCCACGTAGCTTCTGTGGGAGACTCCAACGCTGCGTAATGTCAACCAGCTGATCAGCTGATCCATATCCACTGTAATCCCAAGAGCAGCATTTCCAGAGCCAGGGCTTGGTATGATGTCACGTCCGTGCGTGTCAAACGTGCTCAGAGTCTAGCAGCCTAGGGTTCTACACCAACGTGCAGATCGTCGCCGTGCTAACTAGGCCCAACTTCCGAGCGACTTGTCGCAGTTCGATTCTTGGAAGTTTCCTGGAGTCACAAATTGTCACAAATGGTATTGGAACGGCTGGAAAGGTATACAGCCTTATATAGCCTAGCCATATAGCAGTATGTTCGAAACATCAGCAGCTACCTGAGCCACCCAAGTGCCTTGCTCTTCACATGTGTCTTGGAGCAGGTGGAAAGAAAGTATATAGGTAAGGTAAGGATTCAAAAGGAACCATTCTATCGCAGTGCCAGCCTTTCAAACAGCTGACCCAGTGCCAGTGTATTTACAAGACTTTGCAGTACGCATGAAGCCCGGGTTTCAAGCCAAAAAGCATCCCAACAACTGAAAACTGAGGATTTGGCAACGAAGACAGCCAGAGTGATTGCGAATGTGCCAATTATTTTGTTTTGTTTGCCATACAAAGTAGGAAAGACTATGCACAAGAGCTCATGTCCTAGAAAGACTGATCAAGTCACATGTACAATCTGAATGGTTGTATCATCTTTATTTATTTGCAATGGCCTCCAACCCAATTGCGATGGCCTCCAACTTAATTAATAGCAATGGTTTTGTCCTCTTATTTGCAGAGCAACTTGAAACACAAGTCACAATTGCAGAGAATTTGTCTCACGCTAGACATCCCAAAGGGATTTATCGAGAGAACCTACACGAAGACAAAAGATTGCGTGATGCTTGCAAAGACAGATGTAGAGAAGGCGTGGGCAGCACGTGGGATCAATCCTGTGATCGTTTCTTGATCCCTGGCATGGCTAAAATGCAATCCTTGCCGGGAGCACTGACAACTCCTCATGTCCTTTGCATTCACGACTTGGTTGCATGTGGCTTGTGCTGAAGATGTTCCGAGGGCAACCAAAATGAAAAGTTGACTTCAAAGATCAAGGATTCTGCAGTCCAGCTAAGGCTGGAAAGACGAGTACATTGAGTATGTTGACGGGTGCAATATTGCCCTCTGCGGGCAGAGCCTTTTTGGGCGGCTTTGATATTGTCCAAGAGCAACGCAAGGTGCGGTGTTTACGATTGACATCTCTACAGATTAAGTCAGTGGCGCTTTTGATATGCGAGCCAACTCGGTATATAGCAAGTTTTAAAGTTATAAAGGCTACAGTATGTCAAATGGGCATCATGCTTACTTATGCCAGCTGATTGCTTCTCCTTTTAGTCAGGTGAGACGGCTCTTGGGCTATTGCCCGCAGCACGATGCTTTATTAGACCGTCTCACGGTGGGGACCAAAGAGTGAAGACAAAGTTTACATCTCCGGCATGTCCCAGTCGCTTTCAATATTTCAACTCAATATCCTTTGCTTCGGCTTCCTCTTTTGTTGAAGCAAGTCGCAGATCGGCTCCCGCTTGCTTGAAGTTGCTTGTGCAACCTAATAGCATTGCCTCCAACCTACTAGCGATGGCCTTCAACCTAATAGCTGTGCTTTTGGAAACACGCACTGTGGGTGAGGTGCGAGAGCACTTGGAACTGTTCGGGCGGATAAAAGGCATCAGCAGACAGGCATTTGCATTGCATTTGCACGCATTGTTTGGAGATAGCAGTGCTGCTTGTATATAAATGCCAAGCCACATCGGAATTGTGTGTCATCTCTTTGAACAATGAACTTGTACATTGTTTGATGGCCATGGTGTCTCAGGAACTCCGACGGTTGTGTGATCAAATGATGCAGGAGACTCGAGGGCTCAATACAATGTGATAAAGAGAATACAAAGAGAAGGTGTTAAGTCTCCATAAAAATCTAGGAACCAAATCATTAGTGCGTGAGCTACCCTGCGTCCATGTCCAGAAGCTAACTTAGTCTAGTAGCTTACTATTCCCTTACTTAAAATGAAAAGCTTTGTACCTCAGCTGATAGAAGAACTCTTGCACCAGCTGGAACACCAAAACTTCAGTGTTTGGAATAACAGCAGCTGGCTTTCACTCAAGCTGTCATGTTATATAGCTTACTTTTGAGCCAGTAAAACTGCGCTTGGCAACACCGGAGAGATCAAACTGTGTGTTGCCGCAGCGATGTTCCGGCAAATCATGGTTTTTGTTTTATGCAGCATGGACAGTGTGTGCCCAGAAGCCAGGACCTTTCGCTGTCCCCTCATGTGGATAAACTGTCTATGACTTTGAGTGGTGGCAACAAACGTGACTTTGCTTGACTGCGAATTGTTGCGCCCTTTGAAGATCTAGTACAGACGAGTCCCCATGTTCCTTTACCAACTTTTCTCGTTTGTTTAGTTGTCGCACACATGACCACCTTTAGAGTGTCACTAAGTCAAGGCCTCTCAACCAAAGCCCTTGCAGACTTGTAAGTAGCAATGATAGGTGACAACATTCCAGTCCGGCCAGCTTGGAATTCTAATTATGTGTGATGATCAGATGTAGCACCAGTTACATGTACATGACATAGCTTGTATAGATGTATGTTTCACTGCAGCCGTTTGTGGTTTACTTTTGTGTTCATTTCGATACCAGAGCTCACGCGTGTTTGAGCTAAAAGTGTGCCTAAGCTTCAGCTACAACCTTTGGGACTGTGACCCTAAGTCACTGAGTTTAAGAGCCTAAATTCTCCGTTCATGGTAGCGGAGCCGCGGTTCTAAGACCCGGCTACCGTCTGCGAATCGAAGGTTGCCGAGCCGCATCGGCTCTGGCACCAGAGATCCACAAAACAAGCATCACTTGCAGGAAAGCCGGATTGCTTCAATCCCTGGCTAGCAAGTCAACATGGCGCAACAGCCAGGAGCACAGGCACCACAGGCCACAGACATGGCACAACAATTTGCACAGATGATGCAAGCCCTAGCACAGGGGCAGAGCCAATTGCAACGAGCAATGGCAGAAGCATACACACAACAAACGGCAATCACAAGGAACATAGCCACTAGCGTAGAAGTAAGAGACAGATCCGAGTTGAAAGGCATTCCAAAGCCTGACAAGTTCAGTGGACACACAGGTACCTGGGATTCATGGTACTTCAAGTTCAAGACTTGGATTGAGACAAGTCACAAGAATGCAGGAAAGTGCATTCAGCTCCTCGAAGAGCATCAAGACACAGAGATCAATGAGACATCTCTGGAAGATGATTATCCTGAAGGAGCCGAGCTTGTTTCAGCTCAGGCCCGACAGGCTCTGATCTCACTGTGTGAGGGAGAAGCCCTCGAGATTGTCAAGAATACCTCCAGAGGTCAGCACTTTGGCCTAGAGGCATTGAGACGATTGATCACTAAGTATGATCCACAGAACCCACAAGCAAACTCAGCTTTGCTGAAGAAGGTCCTGCACCCACAACAGTGTGCATTGGACAAGCTCAGAGAGAGCATAGAAGCCTGGGAAAACATCAGGCGAAAGTATGAAGAGCGGAAGAAGAAAGCTCTTGATGATGACATCGCAAGAAGTTGTCTTCAGCAGATGTGTCCAGCCAAACTTCAAGATCACCTTGATCTCCAGAGTTCGAGACTCACTGACTATGCCATCATGAAGTCAGAGATTTTGGCCTACCTCGAGAACATCGAGAGCCGAAAAGAAGCAAAGACTGGATCAGCACCAATGGATGTTGATGCACTAGCCGCAGCTGCCAGCCAGATGCAAGCTTCACTTGCAAGTCTGGCTAAAGCCAAAGGAAAAGGCAAAGGTGGCTCAAAAGGCGGCAAAGGAAAAGGAAAGAGTCAAGATGGAGGCAAGGGAAACGACAAAGGTAAACAGAAGGGAAAAGGTTCTTCATGGTCCAATCCCTCGTCATGGAACAACTCATGGAACAAGAACGATTGGTATAAGGATGATTGGAACAAGAGTAGTTGGTACAACCAAAACTCCAAGGGTAAAGGCAAAGGTGGCAAAGGCAAAGACTCTAAAGGTAAAGGCAAGAGTAAGAGTAAGAAGGTAGCTTCAGTTGAGGGATCTGAAACCTCTATGGCTCAAGAGCATCAACCCGAGCCTGAGTATTCCGCTGACATCGCCACCCTCTTTGCCTTCGAGATGGAGAAAGCAGCACCTGCCGCAATTTCTCGTGGAGCAGCCAAGGCAAAAGCTGAGACTGAAGTCAAGGCTATGCCAAAGAAGCCAGGAGCTGGAAAAGGTCGTCCTGGAATTGCAGCTGCTGGGATTGCAGTCATGAACCAAGCAATCCAAGAGACCATGCAGTCCAATCGCGAGCTGTATGAGAAGAAGTCTGAGACAATCCAGAAGGCCATCGAAGAGGCCGAAGCCAAAGGCAAAGCAGCCAATGATGCCATCTTGGAACAACAGGCCGAGATGAAGAGGCTGAAAGAACAGTATGAAGAAAAGGAGAGAGAAGCCAAGATCTTGCTGAAGAGGCCAACTCCTCGCCGAGCCGCTTCGGTTCCGGCGGAGTCGCCAAGGCTCTCAGCTGATTTGGCATCAGGCATGGACCCAAGATTGGCCAAGAAGAAAGAGAAGAGCCGTCAGCGCGCCGAGCAACATCGCGTTGACAAGGCCCAGGATCGCTTTGAATCCTGGCGCGACTATGAGGCCAACTACCCTGAGGAGCTCGACTACTATGAGATTGCTCGTGCCAAGGGTACCGGTCGACTTCAAGCTTGGGATGATGAAGATGATGAGGGAAAGTTTGATGAAGCCCCTCAGCCTCGAGGTCGAGAAAAGGCCCAGAGGCATCGTGGCTACAAGAAGCCAGGAAAGGCAAAGAAGCCTGAAAAGCCAAAAGAGAAGGAGCCCAAGATCGAAGATCTCTCCACTCAAGAGTTGGCAGAGATGAAGCGGGAAAGTCAGGCATGGACGGCTACTAGCCATCCAGCCCGCAGTGTCATCGACAAGGCGCTCACTGCAGCTGGGTTCAACCCAGAGGACTATGTTGTGATGAAGCGCGTCGAAAGCCAAGGCGAAGGAGCAACAAGCGCACCATCCTTCGCAGCTCCAGTCATGGAGAACATCAATCCCCTTGATGTGACTGAGATCGAGGGACTCGAAGAGGAAGAAGAGTTTGAAGGTGAAGTTGAAGAGGATGAGAATGGCACTGAGCCAGCTGACGAGGAGTCAGATGGACAAGAAGAAGAAAAGGAGAAAGATACCGTGCCATGGCTCGATCACATGTTCCAAGAGCGCATCCTCAGCTATGATGAATGGGTAGCCAAATGCACCCACAAGAACAGAGATGGCAGCAAGAACATGGTCTGCCGTGCGTGCAACAAGGCCCTGAGGTGTGACAATGACACCGGCCTATGGAACCATCATATGGCTTTGAATTGTTGCCCGCCAAAAGTCCTCAACCAGTGGGCAAAGGAATGGACGATCAAGCAGAAAGAGATGGGAAAGCGCATCAAGACTGCCAAGGGACAGCAAGGCAGCCCAACTTCAAAAGATGCGCCGAAGCATGTGAAAGATGCCGACATGGATCTGAAGCCCGAAGATGTGGCAAAGCATTTGAAGATGGAAGATCCAAAGCTTGAGACCGTCAAGAAAGGACCACCTTTCTACATGACAGCCCATATGCAGAAGATGATGGAAGAACAGGAGGAGGAAGATGAGGTTGGCCCAAAGACGCCAAAGCAAAGGCGCATCGCCAAGACACCTCCACCTCCTGAGAAGAAAGGCAAGACCAAGGAGGAGCGCATGGCCTGGTTCAAGAGCTCGACTGAAGAGCACCTAGAGCGATTCCGTGGACCAGGATCCAAGCCAGAGGAATCCAGCGAAGCGCCAAGGCAGACGCTTCGGCTGAAGTCCCGGTCACGATCCCCGGGCAAAAGCCGAGCCGCTTCGGCTCCGGCTGCCTCCGAGAAGGGCCAAGGAAAGGGCAAGCAGAGGAAAGTGCAGTTGACTCGAGCTGTCAACGTGGCCACTCAAGATGCTGCCCGTGAGGCCAAGAAGGGAAAGGGAAAACGATATCCCACTCCCTCAAGCGAGCCTGATGAAGGCGATGACGATCCACTAGCTCTCAAGAGTTTGGAGCTGGCATCCATGGAGACGCCAATGGCTCATCAGGTGACCTTGGATTCAGGAGCTGCGACCTCCTGCATCCCTGTTGAACTGGCCACCGCATTGGGCTACAAGCCTATCCAGCCTGAAGGCACCGGCAAAGTCTACAAGACTGCCTCAGGCGAAGTGGTCAAGGACCTTGGCAAGATCGATGCCATGGTGACCATCGGCATCGGCCAGAACTCCCTCAATGGACGTTGCTGTTTCCGGGTGATGGCGGTTGCAAAACCGCTGCTCTCCGCGGGGGGCCCTTATGAGCAAGGGCTGGTGCATTCAGATGCACGGATCTGGTGGACAGATCTCCCGAGACGGTACTAAGATTCCGATCTCGTTCAGCAACGGCGTCTGTTCTGTGCCGCTTGCATTCCACCCTTTCGTCCGGCACCGCAATGGGTAAGCCCGGTGGAGCAGGCCGAAGAGGCCGAGCAAGGCGACGAAGTGCCGCCTGAGCTCCGAATCCATGCTCCCACTCGCCCGACGAGAAAAGAGTTTGAAGAGCATGTTGTGTCACACTTCCCTTTTTGGTCTTGGTGTGAAGCCTGTGTAAGGGGAAAAGCAAAGGCAAACCCCCACAGGAAAATAGACCACACCGACGAGACAACCCCAGTAGTGACTGTAGACTACTGTTTCATGAATTCACGAACTGATGATGTAGTTTTGGACGAGAAGACTCATGCACCAATTCTTGTTGTCAGAGATCGATGGACGAAGCATCTTTTTGCTCATGTGTTGCCCTACAAAGGTGTGACAAAAGGTCCATATGGATCCAAAGTACTTTTGAACGACATCAAGAAATTAGGATACTCCAAACTGATCATTCGACATGATCCTGAACCTGCTCTCACCTCTGTTGTTGAGGCAGTAAAGAATGGGTTTGAAGGAACCCTGATCATCGAGAAGAGCCCGAAAGGAGTCAAAGAATCCAAGGGAGAGATTGAACGAGCAGTTCAAACCTTGGAAGGACAAGCCAGGACTCTTCGAGCCGCGATCGAGTCAAACTATGGTGAGAAACTTCCTGACGATTCCCCTGTTTTGACTTGGTTAGTTGAACACGCATCCACAGTCTACAATCTGTTTTTCCGATCAACCGAACTTCAAGACGGAAAGACTCCGTATTCACGACTTCGTGGACGTGAATGGAAAGTAGCAATTCCACCATTTGGTGAGGCCATCGAATACCTCAAGAGAGGCCACAAGTTCGAGGCCCAATGGACCAAAGGAATTTTTCTAGGAGTGAAAGACACCACCACAGAGAAGATAGTAGGAAACTCCACAGGTGTTTTCACAGTGCAATCCATTCGAAGAAAGCCAGAAGAAGATCGATATGATTCAGAGTTGCTGAAATCGATCACTGGAATTCCCTGGGATCCTCAAGCAATTCGCGAAGAACCAGCGATTGCAGCCCCAAGGGAACCAGTCATTGCCAGTCCAAGTGGTGAAGCTTTGGTGCAACCACCGGCAATAGATGACAAGAAACGAAAGCTGAGAAGGCTTTACATCACCAAGAAAGACCTGGAAAAGTTTGGGTATACAGCAGGTTGCCCAGCTTGTGATGCCACACAGATTGGCAAGAGATCTACAGGCATCCATCACACCAACAGGTGTCGAGACAGACTTGAAGAGAGCATCAGAGGAGAAGAAGAAGAGAACCCAAGAGTAGCAAGACATGAAAGCCGAGTTGGAGAGGCAATCACTGGCATGCCACAACCCGTCAGTGGCAAGAGACCTCAAATCCTTCATGGATATGAAAGCAAAAGACCATCGGGAGTTCCCGATTCGTGTCGAGTGTTCGCACGACTTGACGTCGAAGCTTACTGTTTTCAAACCACCATGCCAGGAGGACCTGATTGGTCCACCGTCTGGCACCGAGTCACAAGAAACCATGCAAACAATGCAATCATTGAGAGTGGAGTCATGACAACAGACCTTCCACCAGAGATACTCAATGGAGCATTACCACACAAGATGGACATTGTGACAGAACTTTGGTACGAACCAGAAGCAGCACCACCAACACTAGGCACAGCATCAGCTTCAGCATCAGGTATTCGCAGACCACGCGAACCTGAACCACATGGAGAAAAGAGAGAACACGAAGAACAACATGAACCAGCAGGATCACCCACAGCAAAAGCCAGAGTAGATAGAGACAAGAAGAGAAAGGCAGAAGGCGAACATGAAGATGAAGCCGAGAGAACAAGAGACATCCAGAGCATTGAGATGGCTCTAGAAAGCCTAATCCTAGAAGACAGAGAGAGAGTGCTATCTAGCATCGACCCAGAGAAACCAGTGTGTGAAGAGAAGATCCCACTGCCAGAAGAAATGGCAGAAGAGGCAAGAGACTGGTGGTACTACGACGACATCAGTGGAAAAGAGCTTCTACCTGAGAAGGTAGAGAAAGCCAGAAAAGATGAAATCGACATTGTCGAATCAATGGGAGTCTGGGAGAAGATCCCAAGAAGCAAAGTTCCAAAAGGAACCAAAATCATTGGAACTCGATGGGTAGATGTGAACAAGCAAGATGAAACCAATCCTCTCTACAGAAGTCGATTGGTAGCGCAAGAGATCAAAAGAGGCTCAGGTTTTGACGAATTTTTCGCAGCCATGCCGAGCCTTGCAGCTTTGAAGCTACTGCTAACCATTGCAGTCAGCGACAGCCTTCCATTGGAGAAAGGCGAAAGAAGAAAAGCAAAGCAATCTTTCCTAGGATTTTTGGATGTGAAGAGAGCTCATTTCTACTCCAAAGCAACAAGAGAACTCTATGTTGAAATTCCATCAGAAGGCAAGAAACCAGAAGATGGAGATGTGGTAGGAAGATTGGTCAGAAGCCTTTACGGCACCAGAGACGCACCCATGAATTGGGAGCTGACCATTGCAGAGTTTATGAAGAAGCTAGGATTTGTTCAAGGCAAGTCCAACCCATGCATCTACTACCATGCATCCAGAGAACTTCGAACAGAAGTGCATGGAGACGATTTCACGACAGTTGGAAGTTTTGATGACATCAAATGGTTTCACACTTCAGCAGCCAAAGAATGGCAAGTTGTGGAACGAGGCATTCTCGGTCCACCAGGTTCACCAAAGGCAAGCCAACAGATCAGAGTGCTGAATCGCATCATCACCTGGTCAAATGAAGGCATTTGGTGGGAACCAGATCCAAGACATGCAGAGTTGATCATCAAGTGGTTAGGCACTGGTCAACCAGGCAAGGTCAAAACACCTTTGGCCAAGCCAAGTCAAGAGGAACTCCAACATGAAGAAGTTCCGCTGAGTGCCGAAGATGCAACGATGTATAGATCTATTGCTATGAGAGCCGCGTATTTGGCACAGGATCGACCTGATCTGCAAACTGCAACGCGCTCATTGGCACAAGGTCTACAGAACCCAACATCGAGGCACTGGAATATGCTGAAACGATTGGCTCGATATGTCAGGTATCGACCAAGAGTTGCGCAGTTGTTTCCAAACCAAAGCACCTGCAACCCCTTCAACATGTGGTCAGACGCCGACCATGCAGGTTGCATAAGGACACGAAAGAGTGTGTCAGGAGGCGTGCTCATGGCCAACAAATGCTGTCTTACAACATACAGCAAAGGCCAAGGAGTTGTCTCCCTGAGCAGTGGCGAATCCGAGTACTATGGACTTGTTTCTGGAGCATGTCAAATGCTTGGAATCGCATCAACCGCAAGAGACTGGGGATTGTTTCCCAGCAAAGAGGTGACAATGGACGCTTCCGCTGGCATCGCCATGGGAAACCGTCGAGGTTTGGGACGAGCTAAACATGTTGACACTCAGTACCACTGGGTACAAGAGCGTACAGCAAAGAAAGAGTTTCGTCTCAAGAAAGAAGGCACCGACCGAATGTTGGCCGACGTGCTAACGAAAGCTGTCACTGAAGAGAAAATGACTACAGCCATGAAAGGCATGAACTTCCACTACCTGGAAGGTGAACATGAACTGACTTTGAAAGCTCGAACGGCTTGAGCTAAAGTAGGTACTTCTTCAAGACCAAGATGTACTGAAGGGCTACGAGCTAATTCACCGAAGTGCTAATCCTGACTCGCTTAACTTCTAGGAGATGTTAAACTCGGGAGGCGTGATCAGATGTAGCACCAGTTACATGTACATGACATAGCTTGTATAGATGTATGTTTCACTGCAGCCGTTTGTGGTTTACTTTTGTGTTCATTTCGATACCAGAGCTCACGCGTGTTTGAGCTAAAAGTGTGCCTAAGCTTCAGCTACAACCTTTGGGACTGTGACCCTAAGTCACTGAGTTTAAGAGCCTAAATTCTCCGTTCATGTGAGGCCGAGGCAAGGCAATCAAATATCCAACGATCCCTTTGTCCTGTAAATTCCATGATCAGGTCTGATGTAAACATCCAAATGAAGCCGAGAATGCAGAAGAACTTGGATTTTTCCTTTCTCAAATTTCTTGGCATTTTTCCGTCCTGCTTGTGAGGTAAACTCTCGCTGGCAATTGCCCTCATGGGCTCTCCACCACTTGTTCTTTTGGATGAGCCGAGCACGGGAGTTGACCCCGCAGCACGGCGATTGATGTGGCACCTTGGCAGAAATCAGAGGTTCAGAGGCATCGAGAAGGAACCACCTTCTAAGAGCGATGGCCTCCACCGTAAGATCATTCAAGTGTTGTTGCAGCAACAGTCACTAGAGGTGTGCATGGCTCAAAGACCCTTTCGGAAGTATTCGGGAGTGCGAGGGACATCGTTCGCATCATCAGCGCTGTTTCACTTTCCAAAGCTCTTTCTCTAGACCCCTGGTGTCGCTGATGCGTTTCAAGCCAATTGAGCGCATTCTACACTTTTTTCCTTGTTTTGTCGTCTCCCTACTACTCTTCTCAATGGGGATCGAACTTCTGCGATTGCCAAAGAAGGACCTGCTACTTGACCGTGCCCAAAAGAGGAATGGAAATTTATAGCATGGCTATGGGAGCAAGAAGCTTGACCCTTCTGAAGGGAGGACACAATGATTGTGGCCGGCGGAAGACTTGATCCGTGCTACTCTAGACTCTAGCCCAACTTTGTGCAGCAACTCTTGGTCCTTTTCGCTGAAGTGGCGGTTGTTACTCCTAGTGGCATCGCAATTCTAGGCTTTGACCGCCGGTCAGGTGGTGCTGGTGGTGCCTGTTTACAACCCGCAAAGTGGCGCACGTTGACCAGCAGCAAAGCATATTGCTTCGCCAGAGGTGAAGACGCAGCCCATTGCACTATGTACCGGTACCACCTCACCAATCTTGAACACCTACGACATCACCAGTGGCAGAGCCATACCACGTCACCAACGAGAATACCTTACCACTTTCCCAGAGGTGAACTGAATGGATAGACCATTGGTGAAAGCATACTGTGCATTTGCGCAGTCACACCGCTCTGGCTTTCCCTTTCACGTTAACCCCCTTCTTGTGCAGAGCAGCTATATAAGTACCGGCAGCCTCAAACGAAACATGCATGGTACTTATTATACAATGATCCAAAACGATGGACTCCTGCAATGGCGCTCCCAGGGTTTCATGTGTCCATATGGTGTGTTCTTCATTTCCCTTGTGAATGCTGGTTGAGTCGTTGCCGGTTCCCATGAGACAAATCTGAGACGCCGGAGGGCTTGGAAGGTGCATCGCCAGATCACGTCGCTATGGTTTCACTTCTTTTTCACTTAGAATGCAGAGGGTTTGTAGGTTGAGGGGTCCGCCAAAGTTGTGGCGTTACTGAGTTTCTGCTATAGGCCTGGGAGCCCTCATGCATCCTCAGAAGTAAATAATACCCAAAGGCACCTTCGTTGAATTTGAGGCTTTTTGACCAGAACCAGATGGATATTGCACCCCACATCCTGCCCAGACCGTATGCAGGAACCCTGGTAGTCAGTGGGAGAGTTGACACGTTCATGTCCAGTAGCAATCAGTATTGTTTTGATTGATACACACCCACAATGCTCCAATCAGGCACGTGATCTCCTCTGTGTCAACACTACGAAGGGAGAGCACCGTCGTGGCCCCAAGCTAGATGATTCAATGGGTGTACTGTTTTACTTAAAATACAATCAGCTTCAAAATTGGTCGCGCATTACAAGATTTACTGCGAAAAACGAGGGCAAGAGAGTTGAGCTGGGGTTTTGTGAAAGTTCAACTCTATTAGCCGGGGTCGGCGGATTATTGTATTATATACGTCTTTGTTGTGAGTTTTACTCTTTAAGTGTGGCAGGTGATCCTCACCACCCACAATATGGAGGAAGCCGAGGCACTGTGCTCGCGCATCGGCATCATGGTCCGGAAGCTCGAGCAAAGAGCGAGGTGAAAGGAGGGAAAGATTAGTGAGAAGAGATGAGTTCCTAGTAGCGATGGCCTCCACCGATGGCCTCCACCCTAATAGCAATGGCCTCCACCCTAGTTGCAATGGCCTCCATCCTAATAGCGATGGCAACGGGGGCAAAGATGAAGTGAGAAGAGATGAGTTGTGAGAAGAGAACATGCAGATCATGCAGCACAATGTGTGGATTTGCTGCGTGGGGAAGTTTCTCTAAACCTTCTTTGATATTGTGCATTTGTTCAGGGTGTGCTTCCCATGAATGACCTCACATGCAAACCTACAATCTTGAGCTTTTCGGGTCAAGGTAATAGATGGACAGGAGCCTGATGATAGGGGCGACTGGTGGGACTTTCGGTGCCATCGCATTGCGGCTTTTTGCTGACCTTTCTGGGACCTCTTCAGCTGCACTCCCTTTTCCTTTGGACTGTCCTCTTTGCCCTGAACTTCCTCATTCTCTTGATCCTTTCTCCCTCGGTGTGGGCATCCTCATTGGCTTGAGCCTGGGGCCGTTCCTGGATTTGCTGAACATTGCTCGACAGAGCTGGCGCTGTGGGTGCGAGACCGCCTGGCTTCTTTGGCTATAGGCGCACGCTGGAAGGAAAGTATCGGATCGTATGAGCAGTTCCCCCTCAGTCCTCAGTCTCTACTTGGGCTTCTTTGGTAGGTCGTTTGCAGAGCCGCCGAGCGGGTTCCCACTACTCCCCCTCTCTCTTCCAGCGTGGTGGGCGATAGCGGCCTGCCAGCCTTCCGGGCACAATGCTCCTGAGGAGTTCGGCCGCTGGATTCCGCGGGCTGCGAGGTGAGTATCGAGGGCTGTCCGGTCGTAAAAAGCTCCTCCACAGCAACCAGTGCTGATCGTTCGCGACCTGTCGGGTCGTGTTCACGATCCCCCCTTGCTCTTTCGGACTTGGGCTGAGGCAAAGGCCCACTGCCAACACCGAGGACAGTGTGGCGGCGGCCTGTTTGTGGGGATTCTCAGGCCAAGGTCCGCAGTTGACGCTCCCAGCCGCTCTTGAGCAGCAGTGATGGCTGACGCTGAAGAGACGCCGCGTGACGAGGAGTATCCAGAGCTCCTTTCACTCCGAGACAATTTGTGCTCTCTGGAGATACTGGCTGAAGATTTCAGAGTGTCATTTCCACTAGTATCATAGCCGTCGCACTTGTTGACGACAAAGTTTTGGTAGTTGTTCCTGACGCAGCTTGGAGCCGCCTCAAGAAAGACCGACCGCTACCGGCGGGACGTTGCGGAAGGCTGTCAGAGTAAATTAGACCTGCAATCATGTTTCGAAGAGGACCGGTTGCAGCTTTTTGGAGAACCAGATCTACGAGTTCTGGCTTGGCCTGCTAGCGGAAGAGTTCGACAATGGGTGTTTTCGGAGGAGAAGTGGAGCCGTCTATCAGCTTCCACAAGGTCTGCCTCGACTTCCTTGCGCCCGTTCTCTAGTTGCTGTAGCCCGAGACCATTTCACTTTCCTGAGCGCAGAGAGTCGAAGGAGGCGGGGCTGCGCCTTGCAAATCTGGAAAATTCAGTGCAGGTTATATGAACAAGCTAGTAGGCCAGCTTGTCGAGCAGACAGGAAGCAAACCCAAAGCGAAAGCATCCAAAGCCGTGTGTCCACCCACCGGAAGCAAAAAGTCAGCGCCGGAGGGAGAACACTACACTCCTCCTTCAGGATTGGATCCGCAAGCTGTTCATCAGGCTCTGCAAGCAGGAGTTATTATTCCCAATGCCATCGCCTGCACCGCCGAAGAAGAAGAGCCAGAGGCTGGCGGAGACGCTGCTGGATCGGGCGACCTGGTCGGGACTGCTGTGGTCCATCTCACAAAGCTGGTGAAGAACATGCAAGATCAAAAGAAGGAGAAGAAGAACAGAAGCCTGGACGCTCTCCTCGACTCCTCGGCCCGAGGATGGCTCGAGCGCTGGAGCCGAGTTCAAGGATATCAGACATCGGTCACATTCGGGTGGGTCTTGGCCGGCATCTGCGTGGGATTGCCTCAGAGTGGGCCGCTACGAAGAAGCAAGAGCTCGAGCAGGACTTGGAGTAGCCATGGTGGGTCAGCATGCTTGTGACCTCTTTCCTGCATGGTGGCTTCGGAGTTGATGCTGGAGGAGCCTCCTCCTCAGCCGGCACAACCCTCCGAAAATGTGGGAGACTCAGCACACCCGCTTGATCAACGGAAGATGGGTCGACCTGATCCTGAGCAGACCTTGCGGACTATCATCACGAGAAGCGGAACAAGCTCCAGCCTCCGCAGAAGGACGGGCCCACGCAGCAGCGTTCCACTGCAGGGCCAAAGCCCGCCTCGAAGAAGAAGGGCAAAGGCAAGGAGAAAAGCAAGGAGGACGACAAGCCCTTTGCCGGAATTAGAGAGTGTGCATGGGGAGACTCACAACAGTCGCCGGCGTGGATTGTCGTCTGAGCCTCCTTCAAACAGAGCGACTGCAAAGGTGCCTGGATCATCGGCGCCTAGTTCCAACATCTTGAAGATGTGAACAGCCATGACACGGTGGATGCTGGACTTTCGCCACTTTTTTCCGCTGCCAAAGCCTCAGCCTTCAGCAGATGAGGGCACAGCTCTCAGTGTGTGGCCAATGCCGCCACCCTACCCTCGATGATCCTCCCTCAACAAGGAGGCCAGCTGGCTCCGCAACAAGCCGTCAACCTCGCTATTCTGATGCTGTCCTGGTTGCGTGTGCGTCGGCCGTGCTGTGCACCCCCTGAGATGCGCTTAGGGAAGCAACTGACAGCCAAGCAGAAACTAACGGCGAGCAAGATCGAGGTCCTTTTTAGGGAGGCGAGCTTTGATGGAAACATCTGTCCTGCGGAGATGGGCAGGACAGCCGCCCAAATCGAGAGCTTGGACACTCTTTTATATACTGTCCTTGTAAGATCAGGCCTCTAGGTTGCATGTGGGTGACTAGCGCACGAAGCCAAAGAGTTGAAAGCATCGAGAATAGCCATGCTCGCGGAGCCTCATCGAACGGTCTATGAAGGACCCTGTGAGCAAAGCTCAGCATCCAGATGAAGCCCGGCAAGCCTCTCGCGTCAGAGGCCATGCTTGCCGACTTGCCGAGGAGAGGCCATGGCTTTTGTAGAGAAGCTGGATCAGCACCACCTTTTGCGTTTGGCTGAAAAAGAAGAAGTACGCCTTTCCCATTTGTGTGGGGCTTTTGCTTTGACGAAAGATGCAGATTTCGACCGCCTCATCCTAGATGCGAGACCTCCGAACGATCTGGGGGACACTTTGACAGATTGGGTTCAAACCTTAGGAGCCATCCAGCCGATCGGATAGAGCTATACCTGCAGGACAAGAACTTCTTTTTCTGGGACCAACCTCAAGGACTATTACTATTGTTTTCGAGTCAGTCGGAAGGGAGCTTTGAGAAACGCATTCCGTCTACCTTTGGTGCCGTCTCAGGTTCAACACTTGCGCGCGTACTCAGGAGCGCATAAAGTCAGCCAAAGTTCTTTACCCATGCCTGTCGACGCAATGGCGATGGGAGACAACAATGCTGTAGAGATAGGTCAGAAAGCGCACATGCAGATAGGTCTTGCCAGCCAACTTTTCCTTCCTCAGAGCTCCTCACCATTCATGGCCGCGCTCCTCGTGGCGAGACGGCCTGTGGGGCAGTGATTGATGACGTCCTGTCAGACGGAAGGAGTGCGCAACTTGAGGCTTTGTGTGAAGAGTATACGTACAGCGGGGACTTGAGGCTTTGTCATCCAAAAAGACTTTCAAAGGAGAGAAGACCGCGACAATCTGGGGAGCGGAGATCAATGGTGTGACCGGGATTTGCAGACCCGCCGCGCGCAGGTTGGTGCCGCTGCTGCAGCTGACGATGAGGGTTGCTCAACTGGCAGTTCAGGCGCAGAATGATTCTGATGTGCCTCCTGCAGGAGATGCACAAAGTCCAACAAGGACGGCAGAGAACCAATGTGATAGCCCTCGCTGCCCCTCTCTTTGACGAGCTGTGGGTTCAGTCTGTGTTTCTGGGAACCGCCTGCAGCCACAACCTCAAAGCCACTACTTTTCCTGTCGGACGCCTCTGAAAGCTATGCTGCGGCTGTCAAGACGCAGGTGAAACAAGACTTCGCTTGTGAACTTCGTCGACATTGTCTTGCTCAAAGAACCTGGAACCGTTTGTTGGCCGCTATGACCTTTTTTTGGAAACGGGCTTAGGCCGTTGGGACTGTAGCTACAGTTTTGGCGTGGGCAGATATGGTGCTAGATGGCGAAAGAGGACAAGGATAGCCACAAACACTGCTCTTGGCGGGTTGCGTGAGCTATGTGCTGGAGGCCATAGTCATGTTCCTCTACGAGGTAGGTGCACAGCCATGAAGAGTTCCTGGACGCGGGTGGCCCAGGTGTATCCACAGAACTTGTGCTATGACATTGCTCCTGCCTCAGCAGTTCATTCAGGACTCACTCCCAAAGGTGATTTGGAAGTGGAAGCTGAAAATTGGAGCTTGCACGCGTTGCAGCTCCGAGCGAATCGGAGAAGCTTGACATTGAGGGCCGGGCAGGCACCGGCCTCAGACTCGCAATGCCCAGGAACTGCTAGATGTGCGCCTGTTAGAAGACTTATACTTCTCCACTTCAGAATAGGGTGTGGGTTCGTTTTCAAGAGCGGTTAGCTGTCAAGATTCTGGAGCGCTACGCTATGCACTTGTTTAGCTCAGGAGCTAAGCTGTACGAGCTGAGACACCTCCTAGTTCTGGTGCAGCAAGAGTTTCCTCGGATTCGCATGGTCATCGCCCCGTGCTGGCAGTTATAGTGACAAGATGGGAATTGCGCCAGCCGCTGAAGCCTTCGCATAGACAGCCGCTGCCAGAGCCTCTTCAAAGCAATGTTTGCCATAGCCGTCTTATGGAAATGGACTCGGTGGGCCGCCGCCCTACTTTTAGCCTATGAAGGCATCCCCCGAATAGCAGAAGTCCTGTCGGCTGCCCGAGGGGACTTAGTTCTACCTAGCGACTCCTTTGATGACACGCTCCGTATAGCTTTCTTGAAAACCTAACAGTAGAAGGTGAAGCTGCGTTGAATGAACGTCATTTTGAGCACTTGGATGCTGGAGTACAGCTTTTCCCTTTCAGCATCTGCTTTTCGGAGTAGATGGGACAAAATCCACTCCAGCTGGAGTCAGGGAGGCGGCGGCGCCATTTTGGCCTACAAGCGCAATAGACCCATTCAAGATATTTTATGGATTATGCGGCTGACTTCAAAAACAACTTTAGAAAGTTACTTGCAGGAGACCCCAGCGGATTCCTTGCTCACACGACTTCCAGAAGACCTAAATGTAAAGCGCGTAATGCTGCCAGTCGGTGACGGCCTTCGAGAAGTTTGGATGGGGCTTCAGCATGCTGCGCTGCTCTTTTGCATTTCCCCTTTCGGTGAGACCTAGCAGCTGGGAACAGCACACTTTAACAACCCATGAATGCATTCAGACACCTCGCCCCAAAGGCTCGCAGAGATCAAAGCAGAGCAGATTGGAGAGTTGCGTGACATTGAACTCACTTCCCACGAAAGGCTCAAGCCATTTTCGCTCAAGTGGCTCCAGAGCCAGTGGCGCGTTTTCCCCTGTGGCTGTTCTTTCAGGTTTCCGCGGCGCCATGTTCTGGGTGGCTGCGGACGGCACTACCTTTACCGTGCGTGGCGCGATGTTCGAGTTGTTTGTGTGTTCGATTCTGCGTGAGAGCTGGCGCTAACATTTGCCTGGGGTTGTTTCCCCTTCAGGTCGGACCGGACCGGACTGTGGCGCAACGAAAATGGTGGTTCCGCCAACTTCACTGCGCGCTGGCCCTTGCGGCTTGCCCGGCAATACCTCTGTATTACAAATCGCCTGAGGTTCGATTTCTCTTCAAGTTGGATTGGCAGCGCTTTGTGGTTCGAGTCCCTTTAGATTGGAGCAGGCGCTTCTGAGAGGGATGTGCTTTTCTCCTTCGCACCGACCACTGCGGGATTTTACATTTTGGCCTTGGTTTTGGCTTCTGCCTTCAGCTAATCCTACAGGGAGGCTTCCTTTTTCGTGTACAAGATGCACTGAGTGCTTGGCATTACGACCACCAGTGTCGAGGCTTTCTTGGCTCGTTGGATCCGGACGTGTTTCCGGCCCTCGCCAGGTGTGGGGTAAAGTGTTGCTTGTTTGCAAATTCGCATCTCATACGTGTACAGCCTTTGGTCTTGCACCCTGACAAGACCTTTGGCTTCGACTACGCACCCACTCCAGAGTTAGGGTGGGGCAGACAATGTTTCCATCTTGCTATTAAACCCTCAATAGTCACGCGCAATGTAGGTGACGGTATGTTGGGCACATTCTATTGTTTTCTTCTCATCTTTCTGTGGGCTTCCTACTTGTATCTGCGTCCCGCTCCGCGCCACCCACTCGCACTCACTCTTGGAGTCACTCGGTCACTCAGTCACTCACCCATTCACTCGCTCAGTCAGTCAGTCAGTCACTCAATCTCCTCTTCGACGCGCTTTTGCATGCACTTGTTAGAAGCAGAAAAGCTGACATATGGGGCCCACATGGTGGTAAAAAATCTGGTCCTTTAATTGGCACCAGCGTGTTGGCAGCATCATATTTCAACGAGTCGGACAGATGCTGCAGAGATGAGAGCTGTCACTGAAGCCATAGATCTCGCAATTTGGGATAATTTGGGATTGAAGTCATTCATCGACAATAATGACATGGCCCTCAAAATCCCATCCTATCAAGGCGATGTATATAACAGTTTCCCCGAGGTTGGCGGCAGGTTACGCTGCTTCGGCAGCAACCAGCGCCTAAAAGCACGCTTTGGCCAAGGGTATCAGCTCGAGGCCTGAGAATGTAAAATCTTGCAAAAAATTTGCCAATGTGTTCTTGTTACATTCATTCTTGCTGACTAGCAAACCTCTAGCTAAAACCTCGACTATAGCTATGCATGTACTTACCATTACTTACCCATATGCAGAGGCTCGTGCATCCAGACAAACATGCAGACCTGCAAGTGTGCAGTTTGTGCGCCAAAATTGTTTCCCGAAACATCTAGGATCAAAGTGAATAGTTCAAGGACTTCTTCAAGGAAAGTCCCCCCGACCTTCAGGTGTTGAAGATACAATATAGTAGCTACTTAAGCAGCAGCTTAATAACTTTCATCCGGGTTAGACTTCCAAAGAGTGAAACACATTTTTCGTTGAGCATGTTTCTGCGGAGGTGCGCTTGCACGCACCAGAAGCGAAGGATTTCCTTCAGAAACACCAGCAGCTCAGCATCGTTCACCAATCAGGGCCTTATGGGAGCATACTGCGGTTCGGTTCGAAGTATCGCACCAATGCGAAATCGGGTGAAATATGGTGAAATACAGCTAAATCCTAATAGCTTCTTGTTACTACTAGTTCTTGCTACTAGTGGCGATGGCCTCCAACCTAATAGTGATGACCTCCAACCTACTAAGACTAGTGATGGCCTCCGACCCGTGAAACACAGTCATGACCAAAGCTGACTTGAGGCTTCCATCGTTGCTGGACGCAGTTGAAGTGAAGCGTGCTTGTGCTGCGCTGGGCCAGCCAGGTTGGAAGGGACATAGCCAACCATTTTATCCAGTAAAGCAAGCGGGTAGAACTAGCTTAGATCCACAAGCATCCCACCGCGGTCTTGACTGTACGCAAGGCTTTATGTGGCACGATCCCCACCTCGCACATGCCCCATTGGCGAGTTGGTTGATGCACCTTTCAGGCCGTGCTTCTCTGATTCATGAAGGCTGTGAAGAAGGGTTTCTTGCACCTCGCTCCTGAAGTTTTTGAAGATGCTTGCATCCAACAGGGGAGTATCGTGTATTCCGTGACTGGACTGGATGGCAGATGCGTTTCTTTTCAAACGCCTCAACTTGGGCCCGGATTCTTCACACAAGGTCTTCGAAGCTCTTGCTCGTGAAGGACTCTGCATCATGTGACCTCTCATTTTGCTGGACACATGACAGGATTCCATCGAGTGCAGAACAGGAGAATTGTGGCATGGGATGAAGAGAAAGGTTTAACATCTAAAGTAGCGGGAAAAACTTCGAGACTAATGTTCCGACTGACAGTCCCTTTGTCCTCATGTCCACGACCTTGAAAGTCCTCAATCGAAATCCTTCAGCGAAAGACGCTTCTGCTCCCACCAATCACAGGATGTATCTCGGCTTCAATCTTTGCCCAGTGGTGGCTCTTTGAAGATCGTGCAAACCGGCTTTCGTGCTTTTTGGAGCAACACTTCCCGGGCACAGCGCAGTTGGAGAGGCCTTTGACAATCTGTCACATGCAGCTACCACCACTTGAACAGGTGAAGCCGATGAAGCTCATTTGGCACGTGCATAACAACTAGTAGCGTCCTTGCTCCTAGTAGCCATGCCCTTGGTACTAGTAGCTTCTTGTTACTAGTAGTATGGCCAGGTGCTACTAGCAGCGTCCTTGCTCCTATTAGAGATGCCCTTTGCTACTAGTAGGGTCCCTTTCGCATGTTGCACGCCCTTTTGCAGGCACGAGCACAACTTTCGCTTTCGACTTCCTCAGCGCTGCCCACTTGGCGAGGCGTTTTAAGCAAGACAGATGTGGATATGGTCAACCATGTTTTTGTTTCTGGCTTCGTACTTTAGGATTGTCATGGATTGTCTTGGTAATTCTTCTTATTGATGAATGCTGGCGAGCAGGGGTGGCGACACACGACCGAACATTCTTCCAAATGCTTGGAACGTTTAATGTTTTTGTGCCGTCACAGGTCTTCAGAGTTTTGGAAGAGTCGCGAAATGAGTTGCATCTGGACGAGTATGGTGTTTGCCAGACACTTGTCTTTGAGTTTGTGGGACTGGTTAGATGCATGAGATGATTGAGATGACACTAAATATGATAATATGATTGTGGGTCAGATCCAACATTGTGCAATTTGTTTTCGGCCATGGGCCTGATTTTGGTGGGCAATGCATCATATGATGATGCCAGTGCTGTAGACAACAAGCTTTCTTTGAGCGCAAATCACCCTACAAGGGCCAGCTTGGAGCAGATCTTCAATGATTTCGCCGCATTGCAAGAGGAAGAGACAGGCCCAGTGCAAGGTGGGCCTCGAGACAAAAGGTTCGCTAGATTAGAATACTTCTGCCGAAGTGAACAAAGAGGATTACAGTAGGTCTTGGATGGTGTCATATCTATATAACGTATTAGATACCCTTTATGCCATTCAACTGCATGGAGATGCGAACACTAGCAACAGCATGTGACGGTCTCATCGCGCAGGCCTTTTTCGAGATGGTCGATCACTTCAGGAGTCCAAGTAGCGATTTCTCATTGCTCTGCATTGCTGCGATGGCCTCTAACCTAATAGCAATGGCCTCCAACCTACCAGTGATGGCCTCCAACCCAACAGCACATGATGTGCACTGCTGCGCTCCCATGAGCTTCCATTGGATCTCGTTCTCACAACTCGCATTTGTGGCGATTGTGACGCGATTTCAATTCTTGCAGCTGTGATGTCAGAATCGGCTTGAACGACAGATCAAATAAGTCATTCAATTGGCCATCCGGTTACGGAGCACATTTTCCCTGACATCTCACTTTCAGGATCGAAGTGGTTCTGTAGAAATGAGTGTCGTGTGATAGAGTTTCACTGAATCGATTCCACTCCCACAGCTGGGGATGATCAAATCCTATGGACTGCGAAAAAGGATCAATGTTTTCTTTCAAACACATGCCTCACACATGCCTCATGTAGGGGTGTCCGGTGTCCATGAATGTCTCTTTTTGCCGTCGTGGGCATGTTGCTGTCAAAGCTGATGGGCTTGACCTGAAGTCATTCGATCGATGTGCTTGACGTTTGCAGAACTGTGTGGTCGGATCTGCGTGAGAATCAATGTATGGAGTCCCTTTTCCAGGTCCACCCGAGGAAACGGAGCTTTGTCCACACCTTGTCCACTTCCTGGATGCACTGACTCCCACTTGGAAGCGGAAATGTTCACAAGTGAGGCACTTCCGGCCATAATGCGGCCATTGCTAGGCGAGTTCTTGAGATTGGATCGCTGGGATGATAGCTCAAGAAAACAGCCTGTGAGGCAGGATTTCATAAAAAGCATTTGAGAATGGACACAGGTCCTGAACGGCACTGCCCTTGTTGCCTACGACCGGCTGTTCCTTGGCAACTCAAGAATGAGAAACAACTTCCACCTCGGATTGCTGAAGCTTTGTGGAAGCTTGTTCTTGTTCTTGCAGGACTGCAAGGTTTCGCAGACATGCATGGCACGCAATGAGCACAACCTGATTCCAGGCTGGGAGGACTGATGTTGCCTGTTTGTTTTGTTTGGTTAGGGCATACTTTGCATGGACATTCTGACTGAGATATTTTGAGCTTCAAACAATGTCAAACATATCAGAAGAACTCACTCAACATAATGTAATTACGTAAGGCACGCACAGATACCATGCAAGATTGCTGGATTCTCAAGTGATGACCAGTGCACCTGGGACCGCACACCATTGTTCAGAAGAGTCCAAGTGCTTTAGTAGGTTGACCAAGTAGCAAGTCAACAGATATATACATTGCATCGATTCTCTCTCTCTCTCTATATATATATATATTACATCTTTTTTCCGGGAAGTCTTGCTTCCCTATTACTGTAGACATGCGAAAAGCACTGATGGTACCTGTGGCCAACGCTTTCATATTGGCATGTGGCGTTCTACTGGTGCCTGCACGCGCCTTTGGGGGCAGCTTGGCTGGAGAGAAGACGTGTTTGATGACACTGCACGTCCTTGACCAATTCAAGGGATCAGTTATTTTCATTCAACACAAGTCATTGCAAGTTTGTCATGAAGACTCAGCAAACCAAACACTTCAGCCACTTCAGCAATGACAGCTACAAGGCCCACCTGTGCGCTCGGGACACTTTGCAGGGAGATATGCCGGACACTTTGCCGGACTTCGACAGGCTTTGTGCATTGCTGCATACATATAAAAATACAAATAGAACATACACTGGGGTGCCACAAGTTGCGCTTCTTGACTTCTAAAACATCACAAACCCTTTCCCCTTAGAATCCTACGTGCAACATGTCGACACCTCAGTTGCGGTCAGATTTCCACACCTGAAAGCCTTATAAATATGTTAAACTTAAACGGGTGTGGAAATCTGACCGTGCTGTACCTGCCGCGCAAAATTGACGTGTTAATCCGATCCGCTGTAGACCGCAAGTGTCATGTTGGAACAGAGTAAGAAGCGTAAACTTTAGGGTTCTTGAAGTATCTGATTACACTTTTGTCTGTACTAGAAGATATGATGTTGTACTACAATATGTTGTATTAGACTATAATGCAACACATTATACCAAAAAAAACTCATTTATTAAACAGATTATTCCTTTTGAGGTTGGGGGAGTTTGGAAGTAGAGGCTGTCGTAGTAGCAATGCCAGGAGGCTGCTACTGTAGTAGAAGAACCCTTGGCATGTTCAAAACGCTTCCTATTGTTTTGGGGGAATGCATCATCAAGGTCACTTTGCAGGCTCGAATTAAAGAAGCAATCAGTGTGTGTGCACTCGTCAAAGATAAGAGAGTCTTTGGCCAAGTCTAAGTCTGGTCGATGGTCTCCAACCTAAAAGCTATGGCCTCCAAGGCTTGTCATCCTCCCTTTTTGTCCTGACTTTCACGGCTTCTGCAGGCTCACAGATTCTGAGCTTTGCATCCAACTTTTGAAGCCATCTACGCGTGCCTTGAGATGGACGATAAACTTTCGTTTCCTGCACCAGGACGAACAAACTACACAAGGACTCACTTCCAGATGGCACTGTTCGTATTCCAAGCATTCCGGAAGTGCTGCGAAGTGCTCTGTGCATCCTCCGCATGCTGCTTAATATGGTTGCAAGCCGGACATGGTAGTGTAGTGTGGGCCAAGCCGATTCATTGGAAGATCGCAGGAATGGCTTCAGGTGGATCCATGTTTGTGAGCGAGACAAAAGCTCTGTCCCTTTCTCAAAGCTTCCCAATACAGCTCATCATTCAGAGGGAAGTCCATGCGACTGAATATGCAGTCACTTCTTGCGTTCAGTGTGCTGATGTGTGCTGGTTGAGAAATTACAGCAGCCCTTGGATGTCTACCTGAAGGTCTATCATCTCGTTAGATTCTCAGAAGACTTGCTTAGCCATTCGCTTTCGCACTAACTACTGTAAAGGTCCATGAAAGGAGTTGTATACAGAACAGCCTTCAATTCAAGGCTCAATAGCAGCATTTGGGCGAGAGTTTGCGAGAGTTCGAGATGTGTTTCGTGAAGTGACATATTCTTTCTTTTCACAAAAGGTCATGGGAACAGGCAGACGCATGTGCAAATCCTCCAAGATCCAACCGCCATTACATGGCGTAGCACACTTAAACCGTTCCAACTCAACGAGGGGAGAATTTGACATGCGAACTAATGCTTTCCAACCGGTGTGACCTTGTGTGCCGAGCCTTGAAGGTCTTCTTGCAAAAAATGCTCCAAGAATGCTCTGAAGCAAGGATAAGACCAATATATATATATTGCAATTCTTATCGCCATTTGGCAATACGGAAACTCTGTCCTGCTGTGCCTCTGAAACGGAAAAAAGACTCACCTGGCCTTGCCTCGGTCACTCGCTAATGCTTCTCTGCTTCTAGACAACTCCGAAACTTTGTGTGAAAAAGCCAAACACTCTTCCAAACAACCTCTTCAGAAGATTTCAGAAGAGTTTCTTCTCGAATCAAAACTCTTCTTGCTACTTCTAACTTGCTTCTGAAACCTCCGAGCTTGACACCACCATAAACCACCCACTCAGGGCATGCTCCTTTGCAGCGAGGTCAGCGGAAAGACTCAGGCTATTGACAGACCTGTGAGAAAGAGATAAACGATAACTAAGTTATGCATCCAGACCTGCGCACAAGCATCCTAGTTAAGTTTCCCTAAACATCAAGAACCAAATCATTAGAAGCGTGCGCTATCCTGGGTCCTACCTAGAAGCTCACCTAGCCTAGTAGCTTGCTGCTCCCTACTTAATTAAGTAGGGAGGCAGGGCCTCGGGCTCAAAAAATAAATAAGTGAAGCAATCTGTATCATACTGGGAGCTAGGGCCAGATGAGTCGCACCAGGTGCTCTCAATATCAAAGCCAGAATCCGGCTCATCCACTGGAGCTGCCGTTGCGCTCCGGACTCAAATAGCAATGGCCTCCAACCTAATGGCGATGGCCTCCAACTTAGAAGCTTCTTGTTCCTAGTAGTACGGCCAGGAGCCCCTAGTAGCGTCCTTGCTCCTAGTAGCGATGCCAGGAGCCCCTAGTAGCTTCTCGAACAACTAGATTATATATATATATATATAGATCTTTTCTCAACTATTCCTCCTTTTATGGTTGCATCCCTCCACACTTCTGTTGCTGTAGTGTACGCCAATCGAACACATTCTCCTTTAGGCTGCCCGGTATTTCCGTGTTGAAATGTCCAGCCTCGAGTTTTGTTGAAGATTTGAAACATAGTACATGCCACGGTGTTGCCACTCCTTGAAGCTATCACCTAGCAGCTAGCATGCTGTAGCTATTGGGCTTTGGAGTTTCTGGAGGCGCCTCGCGCGGTTGCAAAGGCGGAGTCCAGTGCCATCGAAGGAGTGCGAAAGGATCACTGGAAGGTAGTGTCATTTCCGGAAAGTCTTCAGTTCAGCTAGCTGCTAGCTTGAGTCGATTAGTAAGATCAACTGCGTGGTTGAGTCTGCAGAATCTGTTTGAATGACAGGAGATCAGAGCAAGTCTGACAAGTCCAACCTTCTTGAAGCTTTCTGGAAGTTCCTAAGGTTCGGAGATCAGTACTGTCAATACTTGCCGGAGCTACACACCTTGATGGGACTGTTGTCATGCAAGAATTCAGTATTATATGACGAGGCCACACACTATCCGCGGCACCATCCTAGGCTCCATGTCAGAAGAGTCATTCTTTTTGAGGCGTTGAAACATTTGGACAGCAAACAAACAAACAAGTGACAAGTCAAGCGACAGCATTCAGTGTCATCTCTGGTCAAACCTGGCACTTCAGGCTCCAGTGCCATGGTCACGCGCGCTGTCATTGAGAACGGTCAAGCACCTGACTGGAGATAGCCTCAGTGGTGTTTTAGTTATCGACCACCTTCGTTTCACGCGGGCGGCTCTCTACTGTAATTTGAATACTCTGTGCTTTGTACTTTGTGTATAATATGCAAGTGTTTGCCAACTGCTTTGTATAGGATTGATAGATTTTTTGGTGCCTTGTGGCGTGGGGAAGATGTTACGAAAGCCAGCCTTCGTAGAAGGCGCCAGCTGAGTTGTGTTTGGCGAACGAAGTGAGTAAGTAGGGGGTCTGGGGGGGTGGCCCGAGAAACCCCTACGTAAACTCGAAATTAGGTGGTGTTTAGGGGTGCACGCAAGCAAGGTTTTGGAGGTTGTTTTGGAGATGATTTTTTGTGATGTTTGAGCGGGTGGTGATGTAAGAAATGCATGTTTTTGCATTTGCATCATCTGCATGGTAAGGTGTAGTTTGATGTGTTGTAGCTTCGTGCAGCTGTGAATGCATAACCTCTTACACACAAAGCGCTAATGAGACTTCAAAGCTGTGGATTGCTGCACGTTTCTCAAGGTTATCTAGCGGCTTAGGGAAAGGGAAATTGAAGCGCTATACCTGGCAGCATGCTGTCTTTGGCCAACCATGTGCTCGTTGACAAAAAATGCTGGCTTTTGCTTTGCAGCTTCTCAGGTTGGTTTGTAGTCAGAGTTGTGGTGGACTCCAGTATGATATCTTGAAGGGTTTCAGATCTCATTGAGCTCCAGCAGAGGATTGGCGTGAAGTTGCTGTATAGAAGACGAATTTGTTTGGGCTTAAACCACTTGCGAGAGCATGCTCAAACCAAAACTCTATTTCCACATGCCCAAGCAACAGACTACTGGTATGCCTATGTTTCGTTCGGCATAGGGCATAGGGATCAAACATCAATCCCCAATCAAGAAGCAATAACTACCCAATCAAAAAAGACTGCTCACCAAAAAAGAAAGCCTTAATCAGCTGGTCCCCTGGTCCCCTCCTGGTTACTTGGTCTGGTCCTTTGGTCACCCGTCACCCGTGCATGCCTGGAGGGAGGCGAGGAGGCGACGGCGATGTCTCAGACGAATGTTTCGAGGAGGGAGGTGCCATTCCAATGTAGCATACCTTTATGAGCAGCGCTGACAGTAGAATTTAGAGGAGGCAAGGGCAATTCCAAGGTAACATACCTTTGTGACCCACCTGAGAATAAAATTTGGACCTGAGGGTAAAATTTGTTTGAGGAGGATGGTGCCATTCCAGGTGGCATACCTCTTGTGAGAAAATGACATTTTTAAAACCAGAGGGCCGGGTAGCATACTTTTTGGTGAGCTATCCGAGGGCAAAATTTAGATGAGAAAGACGACGCATACCTGTTGTGAGCCCCCTGAGCGTAAAGCTTAAACGATGAAGGGGCCACCCCAAGGTAGCATACGTTTTTTTAGCAATCCCCAAGGAAAAATGTTGCATACCCTTTGTGAGCCATCCGACGGTAAAATTTTGAGGAGGAAGGTGCCACATATCTTTTGTGAGCCACCTGAGCGGAAAACTTGGAAGAGGAAAAGTCAATTCCAAGGTAGCTTTCCGTTTGTGAGCCACCCGAGAGCAAAGTTTAGAAGAGGAAGGAACCATTCCAATGTAGCATACCTTTTGTGAGCCGCCCGGGCTGTAAGTTTAGAAGAGGAAGGTGTAATGTAACATATTTTTTGTAGAGGAGGGAGTTGCCATTCCAATGTAGCATACCTTGCACTACATTACTGTCACGTCACTACTAACACTACCACCACTACCACTACTACCACTACCGCCACTTCTGCCACTACCGCTACTTCCGTACCGCTACCACTACTACCACTACCACTGCTAGCGCTAGCACTAGTACTACCACTACTAACACTAGCACTGGCACTCATGCTGCCCTGGCATTAGCGCAGCACTACCGCTACCACCACTCCCACCACTACCACTCCCTCCTTCTCCAAATGACGAGCACTACAACTCCTAATCCTACTCGACTACTCTGCTGCTGCTCCTCCTACTACTACTGCTACTACTACCACTACTCACTACCACTATCCCTGCCACTGTCACTACGACTACCGCGACGACGACTACTACTGATAATTTTGGATTCGTTATCTTGCTTTTATTGACTCGATATTGTTTGGCTCGTGAGTTTTTTTAGCTCACCCGTTTCGTTCTTGGTGCCCAATCAGGGCTCCAGAGAAGAAATGGAAATACTTCAGGCAGACAGAAGTTTATACTTGTTAACCATGGTCATAAAACGCTGTAGGGTCAGCTGCGAATTACCAAGTCCAATTTTGTGGCAGGTGTGGGACGGTCACACGGTTTTAAGTTTATGAATAGTAATAGTAAAAGGTTTTCCGTTATGACAACTGACCGTGCGCACCCAGTGTAGGATTCGAGGGGGTAAGGGCCGTAGTGAGTTTGAGGTTCAAGAGCGTAACTTTCGTTTGGCCAGTGAACTGACTGCAAATACCAAGTTTGTTTGTGAAGCAAGTTGAGTTGGCTGCAACCGTCCAGCAAATACCTAGCTCACACTTGGCTGCCCTGTCTTTCAGAAGCTCTTGTGTTTTTGTTTCTGCAAACCATTCCTGCTAGAGTCTGCTAGAGCTTATTGATGTCTTGATTGAACAGTAATAAAAAGGTAGAAGCAATGCATCAAACTTTCAGAGGCAGGTTCTACAGACGTTTCAGTTTTGACCCAAAGAGTTGAACGTGAACACTCTTTAAGGCGTATGTACAGAGTGTCCAACGAAAGGCATCAGGATCAAAAAGAAACAAAAGAACAGGACCAAAAAGAAAAAAGAACAGGACCACACAAACTTGCGGACTTGTCAATGTCACGCCCCTAACAGCCCTTCCACTTTGTGGGGTACTCTAGGGTTGGTATGCACAGCATCAAAAACTGTGTACAAAAACATGCACGTCTGAGTGCGATAAGGACTTCTATACAAATAGTCACGGTCGCACGTGAATTAACTCGAACGAAAAGCATCTAATTTAAGTGGTCCACACAAGGTTAGCAAGGTTTTGTTTCAATCGAATGCATTTCTTTACTCGTTGGTATAAATTGTGGCGTTTGTCGAAGGTAAGTTGCTCATGGTCGGAATGTTGAATCATTGCATGATCAACCGAGTCGAAATAGTGAACTAGCCCCAGTTTTCTTATAACGCGGAAACAGCCGATGTCCGCTAGTATTTTCAAGGTATCGAACGATAGCCCGAAAAGCAGACGTTTGATGGCCGAGGCCACGAAAATCTGGTTTCTGTAAAGCCACCTGATCGGAGTGAAAATCAAAAGGAATTGCATATCCCTTATCGAAATCGTGGATCCAAACTGGAAGGCATTTACCAGCAAAGATGGTAAATTGCAGTGCTAACTCACACCAAGTTATGCCAAAATCCTTTTTATCAAGTGGTAGATCAGGGTGTCTCCATTTCATGGTGTTAAAGAATTTCCAAACCGCGATTGCATAAATCGAACCAGCGGGGCATGCGTGCGCAACGACGGGCAACAGATCCCCTGTCATGGACCAAAAAGGCCCGGATACTGTCCAATTAATTAACTTGTCTTTGTAGTACATAATGTCGTCAATTGTTCCGGCAAGAGTATCCCCTTCTGCTGATGTTTCCTTTTCACGATTAATCTTGGAATGCACTGTGTTCAAGTCAATTAAATAGCGAAAAACATGGGAAAGTGCCTCTTTTTGCAGCCGGCAATGTTGGTCAATATCTTCAGCAATAGATTTCACTATTGTCATATCTTGGCGATTGGTAATTTTGGCGACCTCATCTGCTGATGTATTACCTAGAATTTGATACAGATCATCAACATCGGAGGCCATGTGCAATGAACGGTGTGACTTCGTTTTCAGGACGCGAAAATGGTATGGGTCCCACGTTGCTCGAATCTTCTGGACAAGGTCACAATGGGCCATACGATGGGTTTTAGGATCAAACGTAATTGCGGCAATATTTTCAATAATGTGAACTACAAACTGAGAGTCTCTGTACAAGTCGACAAAAGGGCGTGGGATTTGTTGGGCAAAAAATTCTGAGATCCATGCTGCTGCACCTAGTTCCCCACGATTAATCGACTGTGTGCCTTGTACATGTGAAGTCTGGAAAATTTCAAAGTCTTGGATGCTCGGGTCCTCTGGGTTGTAGCGAATCTGACGAATTGCGGCCCACGCCGCGCGGCAACAATTTTGAGAGCACGGTCGATCGCATGTTCCATCTGTGTAAATTACCTGTCTATCCGCATTTAGGCTCGTGTCCGGGTCGAGAAAAGGGCCCGCTCTCATGAGTTTGAATCGGTGATAAGCACACTCTGTGGCAAGGGGAAACCACATTAAATGCTGATGCTTTTCCAGGAGTTGAATCGCCTGCGGGTGGTTAGATCGTATGTGGGCAAAATCTGGGCAATGAAGCATCCGGTGCGCATGGTTATCGACTGCCCCACAAAAGTCACATTTGTCGGATTGCGTATGATCCCAGAGTGCTTTGACTGCAGATGTTTGGAAGCCTCCTGTTATATTCAAACAAATCAATTTGAGTTCTCGGTCCGATAACTGTTTATTGACTTTCATTTGGGTGTATGCATCGAAGGGGTAAGAGGTGACCCCCTTACGGTGGCTAATCTGTGAGAATACATACGTTGACCAAGCATGGCGGCAGATATGACGAATCTCTTTAGTCGACTGGGTTTTAGACAGACACGGTGGCCGCTCGGCATATCAACACACCCATCAGGATGCGGTGTCCAAAAAACTTGGATAGGTATCCAGCAAGGGCTCCGCACGGTCCTTGGCTAGTAGTATTAGCAATAACATCTGACCACATTGTTTGAGCTAAAGTACCATGATAGTAAAATAGCCGTCTTATTGTGCACAGACCTGTCACAATCACATACAGCAACGGATCCATAACCTTATCTGACAAGTACTGCAGTGCGACATGGGATGAGGCATATTTGTGCTTACCTATTAAGGCATCAGTAGCAAGTCGGCGCAGAGTT